CATTGAGATACTGTTCCGTAGAAGAGTGATCATGTTTCCATAACAAAACCAAACACTAAAATGTGGTTTTGGTCTCCATGTTATTAGCAGAGTGGTTGACTAGAGAGTTAACAAGGCAGATGCACTCAGCACTGTTCTAACAGACAATGTACAAATTGTCAATTTCGTTCCTCAACCCAAAATAAATATCATACCTTTTCATTATTGAATTTAACTCATTATTAATACATTATTTTTTCTTTAAAAAATGAATATTATTACATTAATATTTAATAGTCATAATGTTGCATTATCCAATTTAAAAATTTAATGTGCATTTGATGTTGAGGGGATATAGTGGTTGATGCTTAACCCTTTAAGTGGTCTCTGCCAGTCCTCTTTCAGAAAGGCCCAGTTTGTTGGATGCTGTTGTAAATTCAGGAATGCAATCAGCAAACCTTTCAGATTGTGAAGTGAAACCAAAATCCATACATGTCTGCTGGGTAATACCCTTACCAGGCTGTACAGTTTTGTGAAGTTAAATTCAAAAATATTCGATGGTGTTTCCCGTGGGTTGAGATTTTGAACACACTTTTTTTTACGTCTTTTGTTTCATCACAGTGGATAAATGCTTGCAATGCTGTGCATTCAGAGGCCTGATTCCAATCAGCGTTCCAGCTGACTGAAGTTGACACACTAAGATCAGTTACAGTGGAACCTGTCATCTGCAGAGAGACCAACGCTGGTTAGATCTCAAGATAGAGTATGTGCTAAAAATTCAGAAGAGCTCAGAAGGGTTGATCAGGATGAACTGGGCCTGTTTGGTTGCATTATTTCTTGCAATGATTGAGGTTCACTCTCCCCACGGTTACTGGTACTTCCGTTATCTACTATTATTGCAAGTTACTTTTTTTCGGTCAGCCGGGTGTCTGACACACGCAGACACATTTGAAAGCATTTTCTGTCCATAACTTCTTATATCACCATGCTTAAGTGTTTCCAAACCAAGCTGAGATTTCTATGCATCCCACCTACATGTGGAAATCCCAGGGATACATTGTTGGAATGGAATGTGCACTCTCTTCCTGGAGGGACGCTTCCTGTTTACCTAATTCCGGAAGGTATTAGGAAAATGGCTAGAACTAAGGCATGGGGACACTAGAGTGTGTGTTGGAATACTGCTGGAGTCTAACCAGCTAAAATTGCATAGCTTGCCTTTGATACTGCTGTCTGGCAAGCTTTCCCTCTGCTTGTCCAGCTAGGACCACCTTATCCATTAAGGCTTTGGCTTGCAGGCTTAACAGGAGCTGAATGAGAGGACTCCCTGCCCCAGTGTCTGGTCCGCCCTTCCAGGTCCTGCCGATGAGCCAGGCTGGCTGTGCTGTCAGCAGTACTGCCCTGGAATACTGCAGACCAGCCTGGGTCGGGAACCAGACTACCGAGACTATCACAGCGGGCTAGCTCGGTTCTGAAAACCAAGAAAAGCAGTATCTCCCTTTTGGTGGATCTTGGCATTACAAAGGTTCAACTCTCTGGTTCCGCAGTATTGTCAATACCAATCTCAGCTGTACGATCAGTAATAGGTCCCAGGAAGAGGAAGACGTTCCTGTGGCACATCTTGCGCTCTCATGTTCAAATCCATTCCCTCCTTGGCACCTCCGTACCACTCCGACCTCCTCACTCCCCACTCCACCACCCGGCGTCTCTGCTTGACTGGCACCAGCCTCTTGTTCGTCCCTCACACTCTCTGCCCCACCATCGGAGGTCGTGCTTTCAGCCACTACGCCCCAAAACTCTGGAACACTCTCCCTCAATCCCTCTGCCTTGCCCCCTTCTCTCCCCTCTTTGACGTCCTGCCTGAAAATGTTCCTGTTTGACCGTGCTTGCGGCCAGCTCTGCCCTCCCCCCGGCTTGGAGTCAGGCTCCGCCACTGTTAAGCGCTCTGAGACGCTACCCTGCGTGGAGGGTGCTATATAAGTACAAGTTGTTATTGTTGTGCTCTTCCTACTGGGGGGTTCAGTAATGGCATTGGCCCACCTAGACATGCACAGCAGGACCAAAGAGAACGTCAGGCTAATATTGTGCTAATCATACCAGGAAGACGTCTCAAAGCGCTTATCAGGATTCACCGTAAGGTGTAGTGACTATTTTTGTAGGCGAATGCTGTGGTGGGGCAGACGTTCTGGAAGAATGAGATCAAAGGGGCCAAAGAGCCTTCTTCATCTGAACGAATCTTGGGATCTTTTAATCCTAAGGAATGAGTGGCCTCTTTGTTTGGTTACATTGCAAAGGAAGCCAGGATAGTGAGGGGGGAGGAAGTCTGTATGTTAATGATGCAATGAGAAAAAAAGACGGGTTGGAAATATTTTCTGTCCATAACTTCTTTCAGCACACTTGGCTATAGGGGGTCATATAATACAAGATGTAAGGTATATTAACTGTAAGGTATGAATATGGAGACTGTTATACCTGCAACATTCTTCAGTTCCAGTTTTAATGCTTTGATTTTACCATAAGGCTTCTGTTGTATGAAATCCCCCCATTGCATTGCTAGTCAGCTCACTATGAATTGCACTTGACAAAAGTCTGTTCAAGTGTATTTAAGGCTGGCAGTGTTCCAACACTTGGCTGTTTATGTAATGTTTCTGTGGAGTTTATCTGTATTTATACAGTCCTCTTGATTTCCCATGATGGGCAATCCATGGCAAAATAGGCAGTACTTTTTGGCTTTTCTGTTAAACAATCGCGTGTGTGAGTGAGTAACAAACTACTTGCTGTTTATCTGCACTGAATAATTGAATGCAAGTTGAGTTATGTAACTGCATAAAGCTCATTAGGGCAGTGGTTCTGTGTCACTGGGTGCATTACACCTCAGTTTCACTTTGCCTGTTGAACAGGAAGGAGTGGTGTTGTTTGCATAATTATTCACATTTTTATCAGTTAATGGAAAAAAACATATGTCTTGCAACATTGAGGATATATTTGTAGAGATACCATCAGTAAGATTGCTTGGTAGACTCAGTTTACACACTTTAATTAGTTTCACATTTGAAAGCAAACTTTTTCTTATAACTGAAACATTTAAGTAATATCTATATGAATTTCTTAGGGCTCGTTCATCATGTTAACAGGAATAACCTTATTAATGGTTGTGCTATTGGGCAAAAAAGGCTTGTTGAAACTTCGATGGTAAAAAGGTTCTTGCTATAAGGGAGGGGTATATGTTAATGATTCTTGTCACGCAAACACACAGCGCATTGTGCTGCTTCACACTGAATACCAACAGGCTGAGGAGCAAAGCAGCAGGATGTGGGTTTGTGCCCACGGTGCACTTTCCAGCGGCCGGTTTCAGATTTGTGTGAGGAGATCGTTCTAACATCCTGTCAACCCATGAGAACAGTACATGTGGGAGAGCCAAGCAAGGAGAGGGAATGGCACATTTCTTCTCCCAACATATCCAGGTTAAAGAATAATCTGTCAATGAAGATGAGGAATAACGACAACAACAACAACAACAAAATTACATTTGTATAGCGCCTTTTACGTCGGCAGGACGTCCCAAGGCGCTGGACAGACAGAGCTGAGGGTCGGAGTGGGGGAGGGTGGAGGGCAGGGGGGGAAGCAGGGAGATCGAAAGCACGGACAAAGCGGAGAGTTTTGAGGTGGGTCTTGAAGGTGGCGAGGGAGGGGGCGGGTCGGAGGGACTGCGAGATGGAGTTCCAGAGGGTGCAGAGTGGTGGAAGGCCTGCCGACCAATAGTGGGGCGAGCAAGGTGGAGGACGTGAAGCAGGCCAGAGTACACTGAGCGGAGGGAGTGAAATAACAAAAACAACTTGCATTAATATAGCGCCCTTCATGCCGGGTAGCATCCTGGAGAGCTTGACAGTGGTGGAGTCTGACACCGAGCCAAGGGGAGAGGGAGGGGGAAGGTGACTGAAAGCACAATCATAAAGGAAGGCCTTTAGGCGGGATTTGAAAGTGGGGAGAGAGGTAGAGGGATTGAGGGAGAGAGTTCCAGAGTTAGTGGATGAAGGCATGGTCACCAATGTTGGAGTGGAGGGGACGAGGGACAAACAGGAGGCTGGAGCCAGCCGCGTGGAAGCAAATCAGGGGTAAGCAAATCGGATAGGTAGGGAGGTGCAAGGGTATGAAGGGATTTGAAAACAAGTGAGAGGATCACTCATTTGAAATCTATCCATTCAGTAATTGGGAGCCAGTGGAGCCTGGAGCAAGCACTGGTGTGAAAGGGGTGCAGAGTTTTGTGCGGATAAAATTGATGTGTAATATTAGTGGTAGCGGTACTACATATTCTGTGGTACCAAATTGATATGAAAGCCACCTGCAGATTCTGGCATAAGGAACGCACAGATTACAAAGATATCATGTCCGACAGTACAGGACAATGAAATTCTCTGCATCAATAAATAAATAATCCTTGTATTTGATATAGAGCCTCATCATATCGTTGAAAGGTCTCAAAGCACTGAACCAGATTTTATTGTAGAGTTGAGTGACTGTGTAATATTGTCACAGCCAATTTGCGCACAGCCATGCCCCAGAAAGTAACTAATCGCATTTATTATAGCGCCTTTCATGTTGGTGAGACATCCCAAGGCTCCAGGCAGTAAAGCCATGAAGTGAATGACCAATTTTATCAGGGGGAGTGTTTGCCAGGACCCCAGGAGAAACTCCTCTCTCTTTTCAAATAACATGCCCTTGGGTTTAATAATTCATCCGAAATACGGCATCTCCACCAAGGCAGAACTCCGCAACACTGCAATTAGAGTGTCAGCCTAGGCTATGAGCTAGCTCAAAGTCCCGAATTTCAAGGCATATAATAGTAACTGCAAAGTATAGTTAAGCTGATCTGAACACATGATTATCTGATCTTCACTCGCAGTCTATTGTGGTTCTTTGAATGAAAAGGTCTTCTATTTGCATGTAATACAGTTCCCGTTGACCAGACAATGTGATGAAATGCAGTTGACGTCAATGTAATCTTTAACTTTGTTTTTAAACAGGCAGCGGATGCAGAAGTCAGCCATGTACGAGTTATGTCAAGGGATGCAAAGGATCGGCTTAGAATTTGTGCGCCTGCAACTGACCTACGAAGAGTTCCTGTGCATGAAATCCATTCTACTGCTTGGCACAAGTAGGCACTTCCACATCTAATAAATCTCTAAATAGATGCCATTCCTTTGATTGAAGAAATTACATTAGAATGTGTTTTAAAACCCTCCCTCCCGCACCACCCACCCAACTTCTGAATAATGATAGTGCCCAAACCTGGCTGAAACGACCCAGGCATGTAACACTGCCAAGTTAGGTTCCTGCTTAGTGGGCATCATTTCAACTCTCCAAACATGGCCTTTCTGAGCTTATTCAAAGGACCCTGGTCTGAGTCAGTCTTAAGTACAGGCAGTAAGTAACCAGTGATTAAACCAGAATGGCTGCTTTCCATGCTGTCAAACTAAAAGGGGGATTTTGCTTTAGGTCCAGTTGCATATGATGCATGACCTAATAACTGATTTTGATGAGTTCATATCAGAAATATCTGCACAGACAAGTTTAGGGTTTATTTTTAACCTTTTGTATGCTGTAGTATTGGAGTTGAAATTTATGGTATTCGCTGGTAAGAAACAGCTGTGATAATAAAGTAGACTTCCGTTTTGAGACACAAAACTGCAAAATAAATCCTGGAAACGTGCAGTCCTGGAGATTGGTAAAAGCCCGGTTTTGCTTTCTGGCCTTTTTGTCTGATTTTTCAGGTCATTTTTTGGATGAGAAAGAGCCCTAAAGTAAAACTCTGACAGTAAAAGCAAATCAGCCTTTGGCCACTTTCCAAATGGCGAGACTTGTCGCTGATTTTTGACCTACCTTGACCAGGAATCACCTGACTTCAGTCACAAATCAGAAGGCAAGGCTAACACAGCAGCTTCCGTTTCTAAATTCAAGCCTATTGTGGGTCAATGGTTCAAATGTAAATCATTTAAAAAATACTGGGGAATCAAGGGCACTTTTCAATAAAAGAGAAACCAACAATACTCGGAAGTATTGTTACACAGTGTTAGTTTTGCAAAATGGCCAAAAGTCCAATGGTTGGTTGACATTCTGTTTACCACTGCAACATCAGTCCAGACTGAAGAGTTTACCTATGTAGCAATGCTCAGCGATTGCAGTTTTGATGCCAACTGCAGGATATTTAATGAAAACTACATCAGACCCTTCAACAACAACTTGCATTTATATAGCACCCTTCACATGGATTAGGGTCTCAGAGAGCATAACAGTGTTGTAGTTTGATATCAGGCCACAATAACAAAGCTGTGAAGATTTCAGACCACCAGTCGTGCATCAAATTTTCCATTGCTTTGAATTCTTGAATTCAGTATCAGAGAGGCACAATTCTTTTGTTGCGTAAAGGATCTTACCTGATTTATAACAGAGTATGGGTGCGCACTACTGAGGTCATTAATTTTACTGATCAACAACAACTTGTATTTATATAGTGTACTTTGCGCAGGTAATGCCTCGGAGCACATCACAGCAGGAAAGAGAGGGGAGGTAATCAAAGGTCAAAGAGGAAAACCTTCAGGTGTGATTTTAAGAAGGGCAAAGAGGAGGCAAGAAGGAGGGATTGAGGCAGGGAACACCAGAGATTTGGAGCATAGTTGGCCAGCTACATTTCATCTCTAAGATTCCTGATAGCAAATATATTTTGATTTCTTTATGAATTAGAGCAATTTCAAACCTGCATACCTGAAGGTTATTTTACTGAAAAGTCTTCCACGGTATTAAAAATAGTGGTCGGTGTACAAACAATATCTGAACTCTCTTCAGAATGCAGATGAGCTATTGCAAGTATTGTAACAACAGTTCTCAGACACTAAACAATCAGAGAATAATTTAAGTGCCTTGCGATGTCCTCCCAATGTGAAAGGCACTATATAAATGTAAATTTCTACTGCATTAAATTGTAAATTTAGGCAACACACATCTCCAACATATATAATCTTAAAATAGAGCTAAGCCAAGTAAACGTGAATTCAGAAAAGATTTCACACAGAGTTGTGAGAATGTGCTATGAACTGTCTCCAAATGCGATAGATGCAGAGGCATAGCGGGGAGAAAAAAGTAATGTAGTAATATGGAAATAAATGGTATGAAAATGATAAAGAGCTACCATCAATTTAAATAGCAGAACAAGCTGAATGAGCTAAAAGGCTTAGTCCTGTCCCTATGTTTTTTTATCAGAGAATTGAAAAGCAGCTTATTTAGCTTTAATTCTACTCCCACGAGAAAGTTTATCTCAATTTATAAAAACGAGGCACAGCAAACATGATATCACAGACATCGCACAGTTGGTTGTGAATTTGTGCCAATCACAGAAGAGCTGGCTGAAGGTTGTCACAAATTTTGAGCTCCCTTCCCCAAGCTTTCCACTTCACCAAGCTTTCCAACACACTTCATGTGGAATGAATCATGTATCTATCACATTTGCATTTCTTTTGATGGACGTCTCTTTGCTGTATCAGACAGTAAACCACAAACCTGGAAGGTTTTCTGACTGCTGCGTTTCACCATTCAGTACCTTTTCAATAAAGGTAGATTTTATAAATAACTACGAAATGTTGTCAGAATAGCTGAAGACTTCTAACATACTCAAAGTGAATGGGGCTGTGCAAGAACCCAGAAAGTTCACAATTTCATTATTTCCTGCTACTTGTGAACAGCATCAGGATGCGGAAGCTGCTCACAAGCCTTTTTGTATACACAGTGTAGCGCTATTGTTTTAGACAGTATATCTGAGGGCCTGGATGCAAATGCCCCTCGCTGCTCTTAACCAGTGAGAATACTTGAACTTATTCCAGTACAGAATATTTAAACCCAATGCACACCTTCTAGTCCATTGTTGTCTGAAGGCAGCGGATGATTGGCTTTGGTGGGAATTAAATAGAGTTAATCTTTATATTAGAAAAAAGGGTTTGTCCATATGCTCACTAACAGAAACATTCCTTTGTCTTGTGCTACACAGTCCCGAAAGACGGCTTGAACAGTCTGGCTAATTTTGAGGAGATGAGGGCAAATTACATTAAGGAGCTGAGGAGAATCATAGCAAGAAACGAAAATAACTCTGGGCAAAACTGGCAACGGTTTTATCAGCTGACCAAAATCCTTGACTGTATGCACGAGGTAAGTATCAGATATAGCATTTCACTGTTTTTGTAGTCAGATTTTTGAGGACATTTTGCTCGCTCTCTCAGCTTGCCACCTAGAGCAGTCGCTGTAGAGACTCCAAGTCACACACAGAGACTCCTGCAGATAACTGAAGTGAGTCATACCACCCCGAGACTTCAATACGATCTGCCCTAAAAATTATAATCCTTTATTTCGATATAGCGTCTTTGAAACAATTCAAAGTGCTTTACTGGAAAGTATAGTGACTGTGTGACAAATACAACAACATTTACTTTGACTGTAAAGTTTAAATGCTTGGAGGTGATGTTTCTCTGTTTCTCCACCACAACCTGCTATTCCTAAGATCGATTGTATTGTTAAATTATTAAAGTGATTTGGAGCAGGGCATTTATACAGCATTTATATTTTTTATTATAAAGTGACATTGGCCGGAGGATAAGGAGAGCTCTGTGCCTGTACTCATTTGCCGATGGAACCAATCTGCACTAAAACCTGATAAGACTCTTGATGTTATGAAGTGCGACGAGCTCTTTGATAACATTACAGATCACCTGAGCTAATTTTAGCTGTCGTACAAATCCTATTAAATCGCAGCCAAAGCATCGATTTCAGTTCCTGAAATCATCTCCCAAAGTAGTGTTGGGAGGAGGCCTTAGACTAGATCAATGTATTTTAAACCTGATTTATCCCAAGCTTCAAGGTTCAAAAATAAACATTGATTCTATTCTACTGGGCGATTACAGACATAGTCAGATCGCATTATAATGTGAAGTTTGGGCCAATATACCAACCAAAAGCGGTCTGATTGTAAAAGGGTGCTTTTTAAAAGCAATACCCAATTTGTTATTACATTTTTTTAAAAAAACATAATAATTGAGCTATTGACTAGATAAATAATAATAAATAAAATCCTTGTATTTCATATGGTGCCTTATCAATTTGTTGAGATGTCTCAAAGCACTTTACAGGATATACTGTAGAGTGGATTGACTATTTTGTGGGTGAAACGCGGCACTGGAATGTCCCCCTAACAGCTACAAAGTGAGTGACCAATTTTATTTGAGAGATTTGTTGGCCAGGACACCGGGAGAAACTCCCTTCTCTTTTAGACTATGTGATTCCAAGTCCTAATGTAGAGGTTGAACCCATAACCTTCTGACTCAGAAACGAGAGCACTACCACTGAGTGAGGCTGACACACATCCAATAATCTATATCTATTAAAGTTGTGATGTCAGTCCCAAAGGCACTTAACAATGAAATTAGACTACAAACCAATAGTTGGGTGTTCACTCAACTGCTATGTGGATGAAATAATGGATTCCTGCAGTGTATTGGTTAGAGCATTCGTCTTACAAGTGAGAAGACCTGGGTTCAATCCCTGGGCAGGGCAAAACATTAGGCAAATTTCCTTATCCACACTCCTAGAAGTAGAAATCTGGTATACATCGAGGGAAGATTTTTAAGGGATTTTTACCTCCCAGAAAGCATCCACCAATCAACTAATAACCAGGTTCCTACTTTCTGCTAAGTAAACAGAGGCATGGAGTCCTCTATATGTAGCTCAGTGGTTAGAGTACTCACCTTGCAAGTAAGAGGACTTGGGTTCAATTCCCGAGGATGGCGAAATGCTGGGCAACTTTTCTTATTCCACACACCTCTGTTTACGTAGCAGTATGTAGGAACCCGAGCAGGTAAGCAGGGGGATAATAGGTCGGAGAGGTAGGAGGGAGCAAGGCCTTGTAGGTGAGGATGAGGATTTTGAATTCGATCCTCTGGGGGATGGGGAGCCAGTGGAGGCGAGCAAGGGTGGGAGTGGGCTATAGGAGAAGAGCAAGGTCACTCCACAAAGACCTCAATAGATCTCAAAATTTGGTATTTAAGTCAACCAGAGCTCTGGGAATCCTGGCAAAGTTCAGATGTTGTCACCCCCATTAACACTGATTTTACCTATGTTCACCTAAAATACCTGCATTATTTTGGTGACAAGCAGTTCGTTTTAAAAAAAATTTCCTTAGAGTTTGATTTATTTATTAAAAAAACTGATTTAAATCTGTGGATCAGGATGGTGTCCTGGAATGGAACATGTGCACACTGATTTGTGAATTCAGTGGTGAGAATGCGTGAGATAATAATATATGCATTTGCAGCACTCCAAGACGCTGTTCTGAGTGAAGGGCGCTATATAAATGCAAGCTGTTGTTATTGTATTCTGTGACGCTGTAATGCCTTTTGCATATGTTTACGTTTATCTAATGTAAGGTATGCCATGGTGTGCAGATGATCAGAATGCAAGTTTTGTCATTATGTGTGAGGCCACACAACACATTTATTCTGAGGTTCTGAAGCAGAAACTGGCAATTTAGTTTCGCCCACTGCCCACGCACCCCACTAACCCCCCACCCTGCCCACAAGAACTGTAGATAGATCTCGTAAATTGCTACACTTTAGTATCTCAGAAGGCTATTATTGTTCTAAAATTTTATTGTCCAGTGCCTCAAGCACTTGATTTCCAGTCTGGACACATCGATTGTGCTGAGTGGAAATACCATTTCTAACCTCAGTCGGTTTTGTATTTCAGCTTGCTGGTGGGTTACTGCAGTTCTGTTTCTACACGTTTATGGAGTCCAAGGCACTGAATATTGAGTTTCCAGACATGCTTGTGGAGATCATCAACGACCAGTTGCCAGAAGTCACAACAGGAATGACCAAATCCCTTTATTTTCACAAGAAGTGATCGTCTTAAAGAAGAACTTTGCCTTAAACTTTCCTCACCTGTTTTGCTGGCTTTACAAATTATTTTCGCAGGCTTGTTGTCCTGTATGTTGCTACACACTAAAGAAAGCTTAATGAAGGACCTGAACTGATGCAACATGAAACTTGTGTAAATGAGATGAAAAGGGATATAATCAATGGTTTAAAGGAGGAGTGGGAAAAGTATTTTTTGAAAGAGATATATTTTGGCAGGAAAATTGTAATAGTCTTTTTTTTAAAAAAAAGTAATTTTTTTGTAAAGTGAAATGTTTCTGCATGCATAAAAGATCTGACGTTTACAGTGTATTTAAGAAAGGGAAAGCTGTGCCTTTTAGTATCATATCTAATTTAACCATTTTACAGCATCTGCTGTAAAAAAAACAGATTTACCAGCTGAATTATATTAAATATTTCCCTATTTTGTAATCATTTTCATGTTAAATGATTTTTCCCTCTTGCCCATTACTGGTGACTTTTGCTTTGTAACAACATTGCTTTTCACTACACTGTTGCGGTGCTTTTTGGGTTCCATCTTTGTTTGTCCTGTGCAGTAGGAAATAGAGAACTAACTAACTGCTGGATAAAATGCATAAACAACTGCTTACGGCTTACTTTTCTTACAACTTTCCGAACAACTATTCTGAGTAGAAAGGTCAAACCACAACCCATGAACCCAAGGTCCCTTCCAATCTTTTTAGAGATGTCCGTACTATTTTCTGTGCTTTGCTGTAAAGTTCTGTATATTACGCTGTTGGGAGTCCTGATGTAGCACTTTTCGGTAATGCATACACTGTACTTATCCAAATGATATGCAGAATTATAAAATAGTTCTAAATAAGTTGATTTATATTTCCATGGAAGCACTTAAGCATCTACATTTGTGTTGGCAAAGAATATTAAAAAATATGATTCAGTTACTAGTTCTGTTTTCTGTTATTATATGGTTGCTCAGCAAGCCAACTCAAGTCAGTTAATAATAATAATATTAATCCTTCCATTTGATATAGTGCTTTTCACGTCTTCTAGATGTCTCAAAGCGCTTCACAGAATATGCTGTAAAATGAATTGACTGTGTATTTGTGGGCAAAACGCAGCAGCTAATTGCGCACAGCAGTGTCCCACAAACAGTCATGGATTGAAAATGACCAAGTTATTATTATTTTGTTTTGGAGGGATTATTATTAGGCGTGTGGAGTAAGGAAACTTGCCCAAGGTTTCGCCCTGACCTGCCTGGAATTGAACCCAGGTGTCTCGCTTGCAAGGCGAGTGCTCTAACCACTGAGCTACAGGACTCCACATTATAATCAGAGGTCCGTAAAGGTAAGACTTAAACATCTCTCCCAGTCTCACCAAGTGCTTAATCTTTTAGCAGCACTGTGAAACATGGATTCTAGGATGGCTTCTGACACCTAAATTGCTCTACAAATGGACAAGTCGATCAGAACAACATCAGTTTTTTTCCAACTAAGATGCTCTTCCTAGAAGAATGACGCAACAGCAAAGAGGTTCCCAACCAATACTAACATAACAACAACAGCAACAACAAAATTACATTTATAAAGCGCCTTTCACGTCGTAGAATGTCCCAAGGCGCTGAAACATAATGGGACAGTGGAGTGCATAGGAAAGTGTGGTCCCAGGTACGCCTTCTGACCCTCATTTGGTCCTTCATGTGGGAGTCAAGACACTGAGTCGGCAGGTTATTCAACTACCTCATCCTGTCCTCAGTAGTATCACACAAAGGCCACATTTGGAACCATAACCAACATTTACTCCTCCTCCCATAGATGGTCTGAGGCCAATTGAAGCCCCAACCATTAATAGTTCAAGGCTTCTCCAATTGCGCCATCGGGGGAGAACGGGAGACAGATGACTGTAACTTAAGTTCAAATGGTTTAAACCTACCAAATGAATTGGAATTGAAATTATCCAGCAAGAATGTTTTTGGGAGTAGTTCTTACAATGAAGTCACACATTAGCACGTTGATTTTATGAATAAAAACCTTGACAGAAACTTTATTTTCTGTTGCAGTTACAGAATAACATTTGTCTGATTGTGAAGGTTTTAGAACTGCGGTCACCAATGCAAGCATGAACCGTTATATTAGCGCAGTCCTCACAAGAAGCCTTTACACTAAACATTGCCCCCATTGTATATAGAATTATAATTTGCTCTAATATACAACAATATTGTGAACCATGAGACTGCTGTTACTAAAAACAGAATAGCATTGGCTTTTTATTATAAGACATAAAACAAAATGCTGGGTTGCTGATGGAAGGAAGCTCATGCTGGTCTCACACATGATGGTAAGGTCCACAAGAGAGAGGGGTTAGTGCCTGGAGCCTGTGAAGGATAGCCATGGATACCATGAATAGCGTTCAGTCCACAAATGCTCAGTGCTCCAGGAACTCAACGTAGTTTCGCGGAATAAGTCCCGTTTTGCCCTCAAGGGTTCCTTCAAGCCAACCAGGTTCTCGCGACACATGAACTGAGAGGGAACAAAAGAAAAACAAATGTAATTACTGAGCATCATTCAGTGCAGTCTGCAATTTATTACGTTTGACCACTTGTGTTACACTGGAGTCAGCTCAGCTCTCCTCTTGGTGTTATCCCCCAGACGAAAGAGTTCAAAATTCTTGTCCTCGTCTTCAAAGCCCTCAACGGCCTTGCTCCTTCCTACCTCTATGACCTGCTAATGCTATATCAGCCTGTCCATTCCCTTCACTCAGCGAGCTCCATACTCCATCCATCCTGACCTACAATCGGCAGTCAAGCCTTCAAACTCTCTACCCCCACCCTTTGGAACTCCATCCCTCCCTTTGGAACTCCATCCCGCAGTCCCTTCACCTCGCTCCCTCCATTGCCTCCTTCAAGGCACATCTCAAGACCCTCCTCTTCAACTCTGCCTTTGGCCACCCTCCAACCCTCCCCCCACACCTCCCAATCTCCTGCTCAGGTCGAAATCCCTGACTGTGCAGGACCTTGGGTAGTCTTCCCAACATGGAAGGCGCACAGCTATTTCTTACATTTTTTAGCTGACGGCAGGAAGAAGATTCAAGATCGTTAGGATAAGGGTCTTAAATCTGAGGTGAAACGCTTAAGTGATTTTCTGACCTTCAGTGAGAGGCAAGTCTGAGGATGCAAATGTTCTAAACAAGCTGCACTGAACAGTAGTAATTTCTGAAAGTTAACAATTTCCATCCGAACGGTAGCAAGGAAGAACACAATAAGAGTGATCATCAAACAACCAAACGCAAGAATACCTGGAACAAGTAGAAGTAAACAAGGCTAGGCTGCTCAGCATGATCACTTGCAAAGTGTAACCCCTCCCACCCCACTCACCCCAATCCCCAACCAAATGATACGCCAACATCCACAATTTAATCTACTTTCTTAAAAGTCGTTATCAAATTGGCTTCCACCACCCTTTCAGGCAATGCATTCCAGATCCAAACAACTCGTGTGAAATAATTTCTCCTCACCTCTCCTCTGTTTCTTTCAACAACTATTTCAAATCGGTGTCCTCAGTTTACCGACCCGCACACCTGTGGAAATAGTTCCTCCTTGTTCACCCTATCGAATCCCCTCATAATTTGGAAAATTTCGATTAAATGTCTTCTTAACATTCTCTGCTCCAAGGAGAATAATCCTAGCTTCTCCAGCCTCTCCTGATAACTGAAGTCCCTCATTCCCGGTACCATCCTGGTAAATCTCCTTTGCACCCTCTCCAATGCCTTGACATCCTTCCTAAAGTGTGGTGCCCATACCTGAACTGAACAGTACTCTGGCTGAGGCCTAACCAGGGTTTTATAGAAGTTTTATATAACTTCCTGACTTTTGTATTTTATGCCCCCATTTATGAAGCCGAGTGTCCCATATGATTTTTTCTACCTGTCCTGCCACCTTCAAAGATTTACTTATATGAACCCTCAGGTCTCTCTGTTCCTTCACCCCCTTTAAGATTCTACCATCAGTTTATATTGCCTTTCCTCATTCTTCCTCCCAAAATTCATCACTTTGCATTTCCCCACACTAAACTTCATCTGCCACCCTTCTTCCCATTTTACCAGTCTGTCTATGTCCATTTGCAATCTGCTACTATCCTCCTTACTGCCTTTCCTAGCTTGGTATCATCTGCAAACTTTGAAATTGTACTCCTTATACCCAAATCCAAGTCATTTAAATAGATCAAAAACAGCAGTGGTCCCAATACCGACCCCTGGGGGGACACCACTGCACACCTCCCTCCAGTCAGAAAAAAACCATTCACCACCATTCTCTGCTTTCTGTCTCCCAGCCAGTTCTGTATCCCAGCCACTGTCCCTTTAATACTGTGGGCTTCTATTTTGCTTACAAGTCTCTTATGTGGCACTTTATCAAACGCCTTTTGAAAATCCATATAAACTACATCAACTACACTACCTTCATCCACCTTCTCTGTTACTTCATCAAAAAACTCTATCAACTTTGTTAGACATGATTTGCCTTTAACAAATCCGTGTTGGTTGTCCTTCATTAACCCATATTTTTCTAAGTGAAAATTTATTTTGACTTTTGACTATTTATTTTGACCCGGATTATAGTCTCTAGAAGTTTCTCCACTACTGACGTTAGGCTGACTAGCCTGTAGTTCCTGGGTTTATCCTTCTGTCCCTTTTTGTACAGGGGAGTAACATTTGCAACCCTTCAGCCCTCTGGCATCGAAAGATTGTGGCCAGAGCCTCCGTTATTTACACCCTTACTTCCCTCAGTAACCTAGGATGCATCCCGTCTGGACCGGGTGACTTATCTACCTTGAGCATCTACCTTTAGTATCTCCTCTCAGTTTATTCATATCTGATCCAATTTCTCCAATACTGTGGCATTGGCTGCATCCTCTTCTTTTGTGAAGACAGATGCAAAATACTCATTCAGTACGTCAGCCTCCACAAGAAGATTTCCTCTTTGGTCCCTAATTGGACCCACCCTACCTTTGACTAACCTTTTATTCTTTATATGCTTATAAAATACCTTAGGGTTCCCTTTTAGGTTACCCACTAATTTTTTTTTCATACAATCACTTTGCCCCTCTTATTTTGCTTTTCAGTTCTCCTCTATACTACCTATATTCTATTTGATTATCTTCTGTATTTTGGACCTGACATGTATCATAAGCCTCCTTTTCTGTTTTATTTTAATCCCAATTTCCTTATTCATCCAGGAAGGTTTAGATGCCCCATTTTTCCCCTTTGTGGGAATGTATTTGCTGGCCCCGAACTATCTCCTCCTTGAAGGCTTCTTATTGTTCATTAGCTGTTTTACCTGCCAATCTTCCTTTCCAGTCCACCTTGGCTAGGTCCCTTTTTAACTCACTGAAATTAACCCTCTTCCAGTTGAGTATCTTCACCTTTGATTGCTCCTTGTCCGCATAAGTTCTCAAAACCTAATTGATGCTGTGATCACTCTTGTCGAGATGCTCTCCTACTGAAACCTGCTCCACTTGCCTCACTTCATTCCCCAGAACTAGATCCAGCACTGCTTCCTTCCTCGTCGGGCTGGAAACATACTGATCCAGAAAGTTATCCTGCAAACATTTCAGGAATCCTTCCCCCTCCTTGCCCATTACACTATTATTTTGCCAGTCTATGTTTGGAATAATTGAAGTCCCCCATTATCACTAGTCTATTGGTTTTGCATTTTTCTGAAATCTGCTTGCAGATTTGCTCGTCTATCCCCTTCCCACTATTTGGTGGTCTATAGTATACACCTAACATAGTAACAGCTACTTTTCTGCTCCTTAACTCTTTCCAAATAGATTCTGTTTTTGGATCCTCTAGCACATCGTTCCTTTCCAGGGCTGTAACCGTGTCTTTAATCAATATTGCCACCACCCCATTTGTTTTTTCCTTCTCTATCCCTCCTGAATACATTGTAGCCAGGAATATTCAGCTCCCATTCCTGTCCTTGTTTGCGCCAGGTCTCTGTTATTGCCACTACATCATAACCCTCTATGGCAACTTGAGCCTGCAGCTCACCAAAATTACTTGTCACACTCTGTGCATTTACGCACACGTACTCCAAGACCGACTTAGTCTGTTCTGCATGTCTTCACCATCTAATCCCTCCTTTTTCTGGATTACTCCTGATTACATTGCTATTCGTCTCTCCCAGCCCTCTGTGTAACTTGTTTGTTCTCTCTAATGCGACATCCTGCTTCCCTTCCCCCTCAAGATTAGTTTAAACCCTTCTCCACAGCACTAATTAACCTCTCTGCAAGGACATTAGTCCCAGGCCTGTTCAGGTGTAACCCATCCACCTTGTACAGGTCCCAACTGCCTCAGAACTGGTCCCAATGATCCAGGAACCTGAAGCCCTCCTTTCTGCACCATTTCTCCAGCCATGCATTCATGTGTTTGATCCTGCTGTTTTGATACTCACTTGCACGAGGAACTGGGAGTAATCCAGAGATCACGACCTTTGAGGTTCTACTCTTTAGCCTTTTCCCTAGCTTCTGACACTCTCCCTGTAGGATCTGAGCCCTTTTTTTCCCTATGTCATGAAATGTAGTGACATCAGCCTCTGCTCGAGCTCAGAAACTCTGAGCTCAAGCTTGAGCAGATGTGTCTGTACAGGGTACACAAAGCATCCTGGAGTTCCCACATGGCACACATTGTGCATGCAACTGGTCTCAGCTGCCTTGCCATATTCCCAGACTTGTTTCCTATTATTTTAATATAAATATTATATATTTTATAATTCTTCTTTCCCCCTCTGCACCAAATTCCCACTCTCACCAAATTCCTTAACAGAATTCTCATTCTGTTCCACCTCACTCAGTACCCTCCTCATGCTGCTGGGCTCTCTGCTCAAGTCTTAGATCTGCCTCCTGGTCTGGGTGGTGTGCATACATGTTGGAAATATGCTGTTATTGTGAGATGATTTTGCTCCACAGGTCACGGCTTGCATTGGGTTTCTGTGGCAGATCTTACTGTGGAGAAGTACAAATCCATTCTAGATCTTACACCGACTGGAGAAACACATCTCCACTCCGGTCTTACAATTACCTACTGGGAGTTGTGCATGTGAAGCAGCCCAGGTTGTGATTCAGCTGCTCTCAAGTCCCTTCCCGTACTACGCAGAGTGTGGGACCAACCAAGCATTCTCCAAGTCAGGCACGCCAGCCCCTCCCTCCCTCCCCACTGCTGCTAAAGCCCCTCAGAATTCAAATCTTCCTTTTCACATTCAGTAACACCATCTGTTGGATTGAATTCTTTCCGCATATTGGAAATCCAATCGGCCTGTGCCCGATTAGGATAGCAGCAGCACGTGGTTATTTGAAGCAATCTTTCGTATTTCGTCGTCGAGACAGGGTCACATGTAGCGTAGATTCAGTCAGTTTTCAACAGTCCTCCACATAAAGCAATCTTAACGTCTTTCTAAAGAGTCATCCCCATTGTTTTCCTGAAATGGTGAGCTTTAATCTAGTTCCCATTGAGGAATGGATAGGCTCGTCCTGAACTCCATTTGCTCTCATCCAATCCGACTGAAAACCAACTTTTTCTTTAAAAAAAACAAAAGGCAGTGTGTAGTTGAACTGTTTGACTGATGAAAAACTGTCAGCCTGAAATCTTTCATTTTCTTTTTGAGAAATAGAGTTACATTTAACCGTAGCACATTTGCCCCCTCCCCCCGAAGTGCCCACATATAGCAAACACAGGGGCCAAGTGTCAACCAGGAGAGAAATTAAAATGTTTTCCTTTATACATGGCAGCTAGAAATAAAGAACCCCGTGTCTCCGGTTTCCTGAGTAAAACCTAGATAAAAACTTGGCTCTTGATATGCAGCAGCCTCTGCAGTCAAAGTGCTGAGGCCTGGACAATGACAGCCTGAAAATAGAAGCTCACAACTTAATCCATTACTTCCACCAGTGGAACTTCATTCCTCCAGTTTTGATGTGCAATTGGAAAATCTCAGCAGCAATGCACTGAACAAACCCTCTATTTATCTGAACCCACACATCTGGTCACAGTCATTTAAATTTTTTATAAAAAAACACACACTCACCATTTTCAAATATTGCTCCCACTCGGAAAGATAACTCGGAATTGTGTTCCGCTTCGCACGAGTAAACGGCCTTGGCTTTCCTGTTTGTGACCCTGTGAAATTAATATGATCATTGGGTCAGCAAAGAAAGTTCTAGCACAGCAGAGACAATAACATTGGGAGTGTGTTCGCTGCAAGAACCCCACTGACTTCACAAGGGCTACGGTCTGACCATAACCAATTGCTGACATATTCCAAGTGAAGCGAGAAAGCTGTACTTAAATCGGAGCATTTTTTAAACCATTTATTGAAAGGAATTTTATCATTGCTATTGCCAGTAAAGGTTAGGTAACTGATCTAATTTTTCAGAGAGCAAACAAGATGTGCAAGGAGCCATGGGACTTAGCAATACACAGCTCTGGAGTTGGTCAGCCAGCTGTACTTTCCTCCTGCACACATTTTGTTTTGTTTAGATTTCGGAAAAACCTTTTACTTGTGTCAGTACATCATATCTGCAAACCATGTGGTGATATCCACTACAGATATTTAAAAGATCGCTTTCTGATGCTTGTATTTGATACACCTCCCCATCATAATAATAATAATAATAATCCTTGCATTTTGATATAGCGCTTTTCACGTCGGGAGGACATCCCAAAGCGCTTCACAGAGTAGACTGTAAATTGAATTGACTGTATATTTGTGGGCGAATGCGGCAGCTAATTGCGCACAGCAATGTCCCACAAACAGTCGTAGATTGAAAATGACCAATTTATTATTGGTTTTGGTTTTGGAGGGATTATTATTAGGCTCTGTGTGGAGTAAGGAAACTTGCCCAAGGTTTCGCCCTGCCTGGATTGAACTCAGGTCTCTCGCTTGCAAAGCGAGTGGTCTAACCACTGAGCTACAGGACTCCGTCCTGTATGTCAGAATGTCTCAAAGCATCGGATGCAATAGCTGTCTTGACTTCTTGTGATGCAGTTATGTAGACAAACCAAGCAACTATTCTGCGGTGGTAAACAGCAATGAGATGAATGACCAAAAGTTAATTGGATGAGAAAGGAATATTGGGCAGGCATAGAAAGTTTACAAACAAAGGAGGTTGTTTGGCTCATTGTGTCTGCACTGCTGCTAACTCCCCCCTGGAGCTCCATACTCTAATTCCATTGCTCTGCTCTATTCCTTTACCAAGCAATAACTTCCCTCAACTACTTACCCACTTCACTTTCAAATGTTGTTATGGACTTGGCTTCAAAAGTCAATTGTGGGTAAAGTATTTCACCATTCGACTACTCATGGTGCAAAGGAAAATGTTTACATCCTGAGAAAGAACTCTACTCCTCTTCATCAATCCTGTGGGATCCTCAGTGTCCACCTAAACCAGGTAAGTTTAGGTGCAGCAAAAAGCCTCCCTGTACTCTGCCCCCAACAATGCAACTTAAGCCAACTTGACCTCAAAAAGCGGCCCTGATGTTCCTGGTGACAGCTGTAGCCTGAGTGAGATTTCATAGTTATTGCAAATACAGATTCCACTCCTTGACCCTCACCCACTACGACTGGATTCTAACCCCAGGTCCCGATGACACTAAGTGCCCACCTAATTACTCAGTCTCCACACACACTGACAGAAATTTCCCAACATAAAAATGACGTGTGGAAAATATTGTTGGTAAACCATTGTTTGCAAGCAGGAACCTGCAAAATTAGCATTTTTCAATACAGTGTCTTTCGCTTCAGGAGGATGGTTCAAAGAGTTCTTAAACCTCGACAATGATTTTACACAGAAAGTAGGGATGGATGTCTACCGTTAAACAAGGGAGAAATGAACCAGCCCCAACATTACTCCACAAAGGGAATCCTGTCTCACCTGCCAACATGAGAGTGACTACTTTTGGAAGCCAAGCAAAGAGGGGTTAAAATACATGATCCAAGCAAGATTTACCTTGCAGCTGACCTAAAAGCAAGCAGAGGTGAGAAAGCAGCCCACCTGCCTACACTTTCAGACAGAAGTGGCCACCGGCTAGGAGGGAAACTAAGAATGTAGGACACACAGATCCAAACAAGCTAAAAATAACAGCAAAGCAGCCCAGCAGCCTGCCTGCCTGCACCAGACATGTGGTCCACAATGTTAATGTTGACATCTGGACAAACTGCCATCATTCACGCTTGAGCAGAAGTTAGTGCAGTTGAAAACTTGGTAAATAGACTCAATTTTACAAAACACGGTTTTATGAACTCTCTTTCATCCACTGACACACTGTCTCACACTCACATATGCACCACACACACACACATACAGGTGGCAGGTGAGTCAGTCGCGCATGTGGCCGCTCAATCAGTTAATCACAAACACAGTTGCACTTGCACCCTCAGTCAGTCTCACACACACAGATAGAATGAGTTGGTCACACACGTGCACACACACACACACATACAGTCAGTCATTCACGCACACAGTCAGTCGCACGCACACGCACAGGGATTTCTGTAAATGGAGATACAATATAGAATTTGAAAATCTTTGTACAACAGATCATGTAACTGTTTTGTATGCAAATCAATCTGAACCAGTTTTTACTTCTAACAGCCTACATCTTAGAGGCCAGTCAAAGTCACAAACAACATCCTCTCCATTTGTGACTGAGGCGCCCTGTCCTCCTCAATCTCTCTGCTGTTTTAACATTGTCAACCACTCCATCCAGACCACCTCTCTCCTCCCTGTACATCTCCATTGCTCTGCGCTTTCTCAGTTTCATTCCTACTTGTCCCAGAGTCTTTCCTTTGACTTATCTAGTGGTCTGTCCTCCTGTCCCGCATTGTCGGGTTTCCCAGGGCTCTGTCCTCAGTCTCCACACGCTCTCCTTTGGTAGGCCTGGGCCACTTCCAGATTTATACAGATGACAATGAAATTTACTTTACTCCCCATTCTCGACTCCAGGTACACTGTTGCTCTGTCTGTCCAACTCAGAATCAATAACACTGAGGCTGTACAGCTTGGCTCCCACAGGTGTTGTCTCACCTCAGGCACTATCTGTATCACTCCCCGCTTGAGAGCTGACTCCATCTTTGTAAGTGCCTTGCTCACTCCAGCTCACGGAGCCTATGCAGAACCCATGGTATTTTCTTTGATGCTCAACTCTCCTTCAAACCCCTCCGCCCATATCAATAACAGGCAAGCTTTCAGCAACTTTGCCCCCTCTGTCTTGCCCTCTGCTTCTCTTCTTCCAAAATCTGCCTAAAGACATCTCTTTTTGACTGTGCTCTGTCCCCACTCCACCCGTTTCTTTCCAGCTTGAGATCCCAATCAATCTTTGTAAGCGCTTTGAGACAATCTCCCCATGTGAAAGTCACTCGATAAGTGAAAACTTTTTTTTGTTGGCGGTGGTCTAGGTAATGTTTTGACATTGGGTTCTTCCCGCTACAAAATACTTAGTAAATCTTGTGAAGCACTTTGAGGCACACTCCTCATGTGAAAGGTGTTGTATCAAATGCAAGGATTATTATAACTACATTAATAGAATGTCTGAGACATAGTTAAGGTCTATTTCGTTCCTCTTAACATTATTGGCAGGCAGACTGAAATATTAAGCAACATTTAGGTAGGCACAGAGCTGTGATGGTGCAGTACCACTCTAGCATTTTCTAGTAAGAAAACTGGGCAAAACATTTCAGTGAAATAAGACAATAATCTCACTCCACAACTGTTTGTGGGACACTGCTGTATGCAATTGGCTGCTGGGTTTCGCTCACAAAAATGTAGGTGAAACGCAGTCAATCCGCTTTACCTTGTCCATCATGTTATTTCTCCTCTCCCCTGGTTGTCTCAATGCCACCTTGGACACAATGAGCAACGTGCTGCTGTTGGTATCTAAACAGTGAATCACTCTGAGATTAGACAAATACATCTATCTCACTGGTAACTCTCAAACCAGCTAAAGGAGGGTCAAGCAGTCCTTTTTTGTCACCAAATCTCAGTAACAACGATTCACGACTAACTCTTTTACCAAACTCAATCAACTGTTGTGTAAACTAAGTGGTTGCCCACAGTCTCACATACCCGTCCAGAGGTTTGTTTTCAGTGGGGGGTGGGAAGGTGAACGTTGGTGAACAGGGTGAGCTTGGAGAAGTTGGTGAGGAGTTGAGCCAAGAAACCATGGATATCGCCGAACTGTGGACAAAACAAAAAGAAGTTTCATTACAGCATGTCAGTGATATTTATAGGAACTTCCAAACACGTCAACATTCAAATGAGTTTTGGATCCATAGAATTTAACAGTGTAGTTTTTCCAAACCAGATAATGACCATTTTGTTTAATAGACGTGAGGGTAATTGGAACAGCAGGAAGAAAAACACACTGTAACTTTAGAAAGAGAAACACACTTTTCAGGAACATGAGTCAGTGAAATACCAAAACAGTAGCAAACAGAGAAATCTTCCAGAGCTTGGAGATGTACAATAATCTTCCAGACAATTCATCATGGAAATTGGGAAATAAAACCTCCAAAATGATTTAATATCTCTGACAGGTGATAATGGCACAAGCCACTGAATTAAAAATTCAACCAACTCACACACAGAGTCACATGGACAGAGACTATGATGAACAGAAACATACAACAATAGCAATGATAGTGCTGCAGAAGGAAAAGTGGATCTGTATACCATTTTGTGATAGATGGTTAAATGCAGTCAGCAGTCGGGAATCTAAACTGCAGCCTTTGCTCGGCTGAAGCTAACTGTGGTTTATGATGGTGGCTATTTCTCAGCTGAGAAAACCTGAAAAGTCCAACAAAAAGTTGGGCAGCAAGAGGTTACACCGTGTTTACTTTCTCATCACATTAAGCTGCAAAATGACCTTTGCCAAACTTCAAGATTCTGTTCTTTTCCAACAGTAAAATAATAATTTGGTCATTCAACCCACAACTGTTTGTGGGACACTGCTATGCACAACTGACTACCACATTTTGCCCACAAAATTACAGTCAATTCACTTTACAGCATATTCTGCTCTTTGAGGTGACTTGATAAGGCGCTATATCAAATGCAAGGATGATGATGATTATTATTAAGTCAGATAATTTTTGCTGGATTGCATTTAGAGAGATAACTACCAGATTGTAAATGGCTCATTTTAAACTCCAGTATTATCTTTAGTTTGCAAATTGTGCTGGGGCACCCTATATTCCTTCTGTACATTAATGATCTGGATTCTCAGACATCCTCAACCTCACCCAGTTCATGTTCTCTCTCTCCACCTTACAGTGTTTCCTGTACTGCCGGGCAACTAATCCATTGAAAACAACATTATAGAAAATTGATCTGTAAGGGAAGAAGTGATGAGGTTCCATGGTTAATAATCCACTTTAATTGAGTGTGAAGTATGTAATCTTTAGTACAACAGTAAGAATTACTCAAGCATATCGACTAAATTAATTTGTACAAAGGTCAGACACCCGACACCTTAGCCAAACTTCTGTTTGTAAGGGGGAGGGGGGTGGGGCAGGAAGAAATCATAGTCTGTGCTTATCTTTCAGAATATTTAGCTTTCTTTCAAACAATAATAAATTACATGTGTACAGCACCTCTCACGTCAGGAGGATGACCCAAGGCGCTGGACAGTCAAGGATTTGCACCCGAGCTGATGGTTGGGATCAGGAGGGGTAGGGGTAGGAGAATGACCGAAGGCGCGGTCAAAGAGGAGGGTTTTGTGATGGGCCTTGAAGGAGGTGAGGTTTAGGGACTGTGGGATGGAATTCCAGAGGGTGGGGGCAGAGAGGCTGAAGGCCTGACTTTTGATGGTGACGTGGGCAGGTGGGGTGACATAGAACAGACCAGAGCTCGCTGAGCAGAGCGAGCGGACAGGTCTGTATGGAGTCAGGAGGTCACAGAGGTAGGGAAGAGCATGGCTGTGGAGGGCTTTGAAGTCGAGGACGAGAATTTTGAACTCGATACTCTGGGGATGGGGAGCCAGCAGAACCTGGCGAGGGTGGGGTTGAACGGTTCACGGAACTCGATGTGGAGAGGACACCAGCTGCAGAGTTCGGGATAATCTGCAGTTTGTGAAGGGAAGAGTTGTGAAGACCGACAAGCTGGGAAGTAGCATAAACAAGCCTGGCGAGCCTTTCAAAGGCATACAATAAAGTATGGCAGTAGGAATTCAATTCACAAGTCGTTTAGTGTGTTATCGTGTTACAGAGAGGATCACCATCAGCTAAGCTCAGTGTTGAGGACCGCCACCACCCACAATCTTATTAGAGAGGTTTGGATGAAGAAGACCCTTTGGTTTTCCAGAATAACCACTCTACTGCCTTTCCATTACACCGTCAAGCCTTAACTGAGTCATCTCCTGGCCTCTACTACCCTCTCTGGTGTACTGTTTCAACTGTCAACTATCCTTTGTGCAAAAAAAGTATCAAGAGCGTGAGTTTATCTAACCGTTCCTCATCCATCATTCGAATGGAATGATAAAGTCAGGCTTGGAGTTAGGCTCTGTTACTGGTAAGCATCCTGAGGGGCTACCCTGCATGGAAGTGCATATAAGTGCAAGTTGTTGATGGTGTTTTGTCCTGTCTGGCTTTTCAGGTGGACGTTAAAGATCCCATGACACTATTCGAAAAGAGAAGGGAGTTTCTCCCAGTGGACAACAATCCCCCAAATAAAATTGGTCCCTTGTTACCTGGTTATTTGGGGGGCACTGCTGTGACTGCCACATTCACCTACAAAACAGTCACTCCATTTTGCAGTGAATCCTGTGAAGCGCTTTGAGACACCTTCCCAATGCGAGGGGCAACTGCAAGGATTTTTATTGTTATAGCTGTTCCATCCTACACTGGCGACCAGTGTCATTATTCTCCTCTGCACTGCCTCCAGGGCTTGAGCAGCCAGATGCCTCATGTTGCGGGGACCAGGACTTCGTGCAGCACTTTAAGTGCAGGTGGACTACAGCACCATAGATCTGGGGATCTGAAGCCAACTGACTTGATAATGCGCACAAATACTGTAGTCAACTAACATGCTTAGATCAATTGGATCTCTTTCAAGTCTTCCTCCCAGAGCAGTAAACACTATGCGCTCCACAGAGTTTATGTGCAGCCTCAATTTACTTCCTGTAACTTGAACTTGTGTATTGAACTTAATTTGCCATTGATCTGCATTCCCCGTTGAGTTCTCTTTGGCTGCCTCCTCGGGTTCCAGTTTTCTGTAACCAGATCAGGGCCATGTGCAAATGTATGCATGTTGCGTTGAGTCTGAAAATCCAGTTCATCAATGTAAACTAGGAACATGAGGGTCCCAGCACAGACCCCTGTGGCAATAGCTCACCCATTCAGATCCCATAGCTCCACTTCCAACTATCCTCTGCTTCCTTCCCTTTTAGACAGCTACTACAAATCCACATCTTAACTTTGAGATCCCATGACATTAGCTTGTAAAGGCCAAGTAGATGGATTGATTGACTGTATATTTTGGGGCAAATTTTTTTTATTTATACCTGGTAAGCGATCGGACAATCAACCAAAAACCGGGTTCCTACTTACTGCTAGTAACCGTGTGTACTAAGGAAACGTGCCTAGGGTTTCACCCTTCCCGAGAATCAAACCTGGGTTCTCTCGCTTGTGAGGAGAGCGTGCTAATCACTATGCTACAGGACTCCACATGGGTTTTTAATAGTAACACACTGCCTCAAATAGAAGCAGCTCCCCAGCAGCCTGAAGTTGCTGGGCTGGGTTTCTCTCCCAGCTTACTCCGTGGAGTGCAATCTACAGCCAAATGCAATCAATGCAGAAACTAACACAGGCAAGTGGTTTCAAAGTTGCAGAGAGCAACTTCACCTTTTGCTCCTGGAACTTACCCACTTCATGCGGAAGGCCTGTGAGGAGGACAGCAGTGTTGACCTGAAAATACAGGGCAGCTCAATCTGCCCCAAGACCAAGAAGATGACTTAGCAATAGCAGCAGCAGCCAGGGTCATGGTGTTCCCTTGGAGACAAAGTTGGTGATTTTTCATAAAAGCAGTCATCCTGAAGGATCTAGGCAACGTCCCAGGATTTTAGATGTTTATGTGCTATTCAAAGCGTGTGCATTGTTTTCCACGTACTCTTTCCCAACCTGTCAGGTCTACATGCCCATGAAGATTAAACAGAGTTCACAACATATTAACATTAAAAGAGAAAAGCAGAGTTAAAGTTCCTCTTTGCAAAAGAATGGCGTAAGGTTTGGCCTTTCACTGGTTAACAAGAGTAGGTGAAATCAAACTGGAACCCAAATTGAAAATGAAAAGCCAAGAAACTCGTCTGTATCCACAATATTTTTTGGTAAACATTAACCTAACCTTTACATTTTCACACTGATTCACAGGTTCATATTGATCTCCAGTGTCACTCAATGCACAGAATGCAGGTTCCGATGTGCAGACTTGGGCAAGACATTTGTGAACAAGGAATTTATCATTTATAATAAGTTAATACCCTAATCCTTGCATTTGATATAGTGCCTTATTGCGTCTTCGAGATGTCTCAAAAGCGCTTCACAGAATATACTGTGAAGTGATATGACTGTATTTTTTTGGGGGGTGAAACACGGCAGCCAATTGTACACAGTAGTATCCCACAGACAGTCGTGGATTGAGTGACCAAATTATTATTAATTTTGTTAAGGGATTTAGCAGGAAGACTGGATAGAGGTGAATGAAGGCAGCTTTTTTTTATATAAGACATTGTAGTGGGGGATAAAACATAAGAACATAAAAATGCCAGACGAAAAAAGACCAAGGTCCACCTAGTTTGCCTTCCACCTAGATGGATGGTCACATGCACATAAGTCCAAAACTACCATAAGAAAAGAGAGAAGAAAAGTTATTTGACTATTGCTACTATTTGTGACAGTCAGCCAACTTATAGATGGGAATAAGGGGTGGGCTGCACAAAACAACCAGTTGTGTTGTTCTCTCCTATTTTCATTACCAGTGAACACCTTCCTCAGATGGCACTACTAAGACCGCAGAGAGAGAAATACTGTGTGGGCAGAGTGAATGAGAGAGAGAGAGAGAGAGAGTGAGAGAAAGAGACTGTGTGGAGAGAAAAAGATTGAGAGACAGTGAGAGAGAAAGACTGGGAGGACCGTGCGCAAAAGAGAGAGAATATGAGAGCCTGTGGGGACAGAGCGAGAGAG